CCCAGTGAGAGATTCCCAGTGAGAGATTCCCAGTGAGAGATTCCCAGTGAGAGATTTCCAGTGAGAGATTCCCAGTGAGAGATTCCCAGTGAGAGATCCCCAGTGAGAGATTTCCAGTGAGAGATTCCCAGTGAGAGATTCCCAGTGAGAGATTCCCAGTGAGAGATTTCCAGTCAGAGATTTCCAGTGAGAGTTTTCTATTGAGATATTTCCAGTGAGAGATTCCCAGTGAGAGATTTCCAGTGAGAGATTCCCAGTGAGAGATTCCCAGTGAGAGATTCCCAGTGAGAGATTCCCAGTGAGAGATTCCCAGTGAGAGATTCCCAGTGAGAGATTTCCAGTGAGAGATTCCCAGTGAGAGATTTCCAGTGAGAGATTTCCAGTGAGAGATTTATAGTGAGAGATTCCCAGTGAGAGATTTCCAGTGAGAGATTCCCAGTGAGAGATTCCCAGTGAGAGATTTCCAGTGAGAGATTCCCAGTGAGAGATTCCTAGTGAGAGATTTCCAGTGAGAGATTTCCAGTGAGAGATTTCCAGTGAGAGATTTCCAGTGAGAGATTCCCAGTGAGAGATTTCCAGTGAGAGATTTCCAGTGAGAGATTCCCAGTGAGAGATTTCCAGTGAGAGATTCCCAGTGAGAGATTCCCAGTGAGAGATTTCCAGTGGGAGATTCCCAGTGAGAGATGTATAGTGGGAGATTCCCAGTGAGAGATTTCCAGTGAGAGATTCCCAGTGACAGATTTCCAGTGAGAGATTCCCAGTGAGAGATTCCCAGTGAGAGATTCCCAGTGAGAGATTTCCAGTGAGAGATTTCCAGTGAGAGATTCCCAGTGAGAGATTTCCAGTGAGAGATTTCCAGTGAGAGATTCCCAGTGAGAGATTTCCAGTGAGAGATTCCCAGTGAGAGATTCCCAGTGCGAGATTTCCAGTGGGAGATTCCCAGTGAGAGATTTATAGTGAGAGATTCCCAGTGAGAGATTTCCAGTGAGAGATTCCCAGTGAGAGATTTCCAGTGAGATATTCCCAGTGAGAGATTTCTAGTGAGAGATTCCCAGTGAGAGATTCCCAGTGAGAGATTCCCAGTGAGAGATTTCCAGTGAGAGATTTCCCTTCACTGACTGCGTTGAGCAGCTTCCAGCGTTGTAGCCACGCCGCTGGAGACACATTCAGGGCGGCGAAAACGGCGCCCGTGGCTGTAATGAGACGGCGGTGTCACAGCGCGAGGTGGCGCTGTGTAAATATGTAGCAGGTCACAGAGCCTACAACGCTCTAGGATTTTGGAAGTGTCAAAGTGTGTACTGTGGACTTGAAGGTCATGAGGACAGTATTTGAGTGCTTTGTTGTTATGTTTCGTATTGTTTATGAATGACTCACCGTTGGTAGATAAACAGTTCTATCACTTTCACGGGAAGGTCAATAACATGACGAGGTTTTTCTTAATGAGAACAAGTTCTTTTCAGAAAGCACTCACCACAGCTTCCCCTCGTGGAAATATCACGACCCGCTACTGCTCCCCTCCATCACTCTCCTACCCCTCTCACCTCACTCCTCTCCATCACTCTCCTACCCCTCTCACCTCACCACTCTCCATCACTCTCCTACCCCTCTCACCTCACTCGAGTCCCCTATACATTCCAACCCCTCCCCTCTCACCTCACTCGACCCCCTCCACGCCTCTCTTACCTCTCCCCGCTAATCTCAGTCTACTCACCATTTGTCTCCTACCCATCCCCACTCATCTCATTCTACTCCCAGTGTTCTCCTACTCCTCATCGCTCTACTCTCCATTACTCTCCTACTTCTCCAGTTTCATCTAACCATACTTCACCTCTCCACACTCTCTTACCTCTCCCCACGAACGCCTGAAAAAGGTAGCCGCCAAGATCAAAACGAGGGTCACCCTGGTCCACAAACTGGCAAGCACCGGCTGGGCAGCATCAGCACCAATGCCACGGGCATCAACGGTGGCCTTTGTGTACTCGGTGCCCCAGTATGGGGGCCGTCCATAAATGACGTCACGCGATTTTGGACGATTTTGACCTCCCCCCCCGTCATCACACGGCGTCACAAAAAGTCAGACCCCCCCTTAAATATGACGTCACAAAGCTCTGCTTCCCCCCCCCCCCAAAAAAATGCTTCAAATCGCTTTAAACTATTGTCATTGTAGTTCGTATTTAATGTGGCGCTGCACTCTGATGTTGTAGGAGAAAACATTTATTAACAAGTCTATTTAATTAAGTAGAACGTGTTGTCTATATTTATTTAAAGTTGCGCATTTTGGATTTGTGTCGCTGTGTTGCCTCTGCCTATGGTTGTGTGCCTGGGGACCTCTAGGTGTGCGCTGCTGTGCATTGGGTGCCTGACAACTGTGTGCCTGATAACTTGTATCATGCACATTTGTGTCCCATTGTCTGTGGACCTTGGCCCTCCTACATCGCTCGCCTTCTTAAAGCCTCGGGACAGATTTACTTTACTGCTTAACTGTGCGCGTGTCTCCCCCTCAAAGGTCTTTCTATGGTAAGTATTCTATCACTATCTTAAATTTCACACTTAACTTACAATTTAACAATCTTTGAAACAGCGTATTCAACCAAACCATGCGTTAATTGTGTTTTAACCGACCGTTTGTGTTGCTTTATATAGTTTCCAAATTTTGCTAAACCCTGTTTGATTTAGTGTGATGTTCCGTCTCTCTGTGTCCCCTGGTATATATGTGTTAATTCCCCCTACTTAAGGTCTGTATATATATATCTCTGCGGTTATGTGTTTCCTCTGCCTGATGATGATTGCTTGTGTTGCGATCGAAACGTCGTATGCTATTATATAATTTTATTTTTATTTCTACATGACTTTACCGAAAAAAACAAAGAGTAATTCCTGCAGTCACGAAAGCGACTAATCAAACAAAGCTCTAAACCATACACGATGAAGTTTAATTGAAAGATCCACCAATGAACATATAGCTAAAGAAGAGGAAGTTGCCATTAAGTCATAGGGATACCACGACCCTCAATGAAAGTAGATATTGGTCTCAGAGCCAATCATTTTCCTTCATCTCTCTTCTTGCCCCTAAAGTCCATGTTGACCCCTCGCACCGGGTGGGGAAAGCCATTGACCTGAGTCATCTTGGTAGGCCGAGTGAGCAAACATCACGAGGCGTAATGCCACCAGTGCTGCTGCTCGTTGGTTTGTGAATTGGAGCTTAGGTCAAAATAAAAGCTACACTCTCTGAATTTTCTGCCTTCCCGAGTGGTCGATCGTCAGCTGTCACCAGTGCAACCCATGGCTCAACCTCGCAGTGTAGAAAGTCTAAAATTCGGGCTGGTACTTGATTAGCAGGAAGGAGAAAGGGGATAAAGTTTTGCTCAGAGGCCGCCCCGCATGACAATGTTGATGATTATTAGTTTTGGGTTAGATCATTTAGGTATAATGCCCATTTGTTTTAACTCGGCTCAATGACAAGTTTAAATTATAACTGCAGTACAGTAACCGCACGATCTAACCCAAAATAAACTAATCACAAATCATATTGGTAATTTAATCCTCTATATATGTAGAGGATGTTCGGGACATCCTCACAAACAAACACCACGCAACCACGGGTTAAGGGTCACGGGAGCGCTGCTGTGTACGACACGAAATCCGCTCTTTGAGTGGAGGACACTGAACGGATTGGCCCCAGAAGGATTAACCATCTCAAGTCTCCTCTTCATATATATATGAACAGGGCAATGATGATATTGACTATAACAAACAATGCACATTACAAGATGCGTAAAAAGGGATATTCAAATATAGAGAGCATCGTGCAAAGTGCTGCTTGTTTCAATTGAAAACAACTTTAATAAACAAAGAACCCATTATGGTCCTCGGCTTCAGTCAATGTTTATTATTATTATTTTGGTGCTATAAACGTCCAAATAATGGGCTACTTTATTGAGCTATCATTTGTGGCCAGGTCGCTTCTGAAAAATAAGTGAATACCTCAGTAGGCTTTGCCTGGTAGGATGGGGATGGTTTAATTTTATTTGTTTGTGTTTGGACGATTTGTGTACCTTCTTGTACTTTGCACTCCTATCGTGTTTTTTTTGTATTGTTGTAACGTTCTTACCTGCCCCGACTGGGCATTTGTAAAGTAGAGCTTCATAGCTCATCGGATTCCTTCAGCATAAATAAATATTCTGATGATACCGTAACTTCTCCACAGCACACGAGCCGTGCCAGAGTCGGTTCATCCGAGAATCCAATCCCAGTCCCTCCCCTTGAGAAACCACTTTCGATACCTCGCCCCAGATTTGCTTAAACTTCCACATTCCTGAGCTGCACCTTTTCCTGCCACTCCACCGCGCCTCCTGGTCCAGCTATAAAACCAAAGCCACCGTCAACACCGACGAGCTGTTCGCCTTGAACATTGGTGGTTATTGTATCAGCTTCCGTTTGCAGATCCAAGAAGGTAAGTCGGGTTCACTTCGCGGGACGAGCAGTAGGGAAATAGTCTCATGCTTTTCACAATCGCTCAACCGCTGGCTTAAACTGCAGCGAGATGAATTTTCTTGCATTTCTGACAAATAATGTGCTCGCCGAACTTTAACAATGTATCTTACAGTGATAGACATGCATGACTTTGTATCTTCATTTGGGTAATTTGCAATGTTGTAAAGATACTTTTATTCACCTTTTTAAATGTTCACACGTGGAACTGCTTTTGAGGAATCACTTGAGCAATAACGAAAACTTCAACGACAGTATATTCATTTCAAGAGAAGACGGTGACTTTTTTTTCATTGTTTTCTCATTTCAACGGCAGTTTAGTTTTTCGGCATTACATTATTTTATCATCGGTAGAGCAATGGGATTGTGGGTTACATACTGTAGGGGGTACACAACATGGGAGGTGGATAATCTCTTAGAAAAGTGATACTGACCAATGCCCCCCCCACTCACCCCCCTTTCCATTTGCTCAAATTATTCCCGGGCTTCATGACTTCCACCTGCAACAGAGGATGGCCCTCTGTCCGAGATCCAGCCACCCACTGCTACTGCTGCTACTGCTGCTTCAGCAGCAACTGTTGATGCCACTGACGGCCGCCGCCGCAGATAGCGACCGTAGTGCCGAGCAGGATGGGGGAAGGTGCTACACAGGCATGCCGGGGATCCCGGGGAATCACGGGATCCCGGGAAACCCGGGCCCGATCGGTCCTCTTGGGCGAGATGGACGGGACGGGCATGACGGCCAGCCTGGCAAGAACGGCGATAAAGGAGACCAGGGGGATGATGGCGTGAAAGGGGACAAAGGGAGCGCAGGAGAGGCCGGTAAAAAAAAAAAAACCTTGACCTGTCACCACACCCCCACCATAGCCAGGCGTTACAAAGTCCTTCAGGTGTAAACTTTTGTGGCGGCACTATAATACAGAGCGTCGATTGTGTTAAGCACACGGGATCATTGCTTTCACTATTGACAAAGGCTCAGCTCTGATGACTTATCTTTCTAAGCATCATTCATATGTATATGTCGGGACTGATTCCAGGGTTTGTGAATGTTAATTTTATTGGATATTTTTTTACATTTTTTTTTTAAATATCGCCATCAAAAATTATTAGGTAAATAACCAAGGTGCAATGCGTTGGGCTTAGTGTGTTTAATGCAGGATTTACAAAATCATTTATGGGCCTACGTTATTGTCCACTGACGTACGCCTGCTAGACACAAGCACGGTTACACGATGAATCACAGCAACCGGAGACACTTGCGTTACAATTTTTAAAGGTGCAGAAACTTTTTGTAATCCCTTCGCAGGGTTGCCTGGAAAATTTGGACCGATGGGCCCCGCTGGAGAGAAAGGGGATCGTGGACTTCAGGGTGAAAAGGGAGACAAAGGAGAAGTCCCGGCTGCCATCCCCAGATCCGCATTCACCGTGGGTCTGTCTGGATCTAACCCTCGCAGCGGCTCCCCTATAACATTCGGCAAGGTCACGTACAATGAGCAGAATCATTACAACACGTTCACCGGCAAGTTCACTTGCCATTTCCCGGGCGTCTATTACTTTGACTACCATCTCACCGGTAGCAGTGGCAGCATCCGGGTTTCCCTGAGACGCAATGGACACGCAGTTCAGTTTAGATATTCCTCCGTCACGGCCTATTACAGCTTGTCAGGCGCTTCAGTCTTGCGTTTGACAAAGGGTGATGAAGTGTGGCTACAAACAGAAAGTTCTCACACAAAGGTTTACACAGATTCTGGCGCTGACGGCACCTTTTCAGGTTTCCTACTGTACCCCGACCTGCCCTTATAAAACACATTTCGTGCTCGGAACGATTACATACGAATTGTCTCAATAATATGATGTATTTTCATAATCACAATGATGAGGAAAAATATATTTGATTCGTAAATGGTTGTTTGAATGTTTTTTGTTGAGGAAACTTGCCACCACAGACAGAAAAGTTTAACTTCACTCGAGCTATGTAACAGTACATTTAACATACCACATATTTAATAATTCGCAGACCACGAATGGTAAACGTTTGTTATTACCAAGGCAATTCTGCTTCAGAGAAAGGACAAATCTCGTATCTGTTTCGATATTTTATTAAACTTAATGTGTCTTGAACGGTCAGAAGAGTTGGTTTTATGTACAGGTGAAATGGCATGGCATACTGAACTGATTTTAACGTAACAATTTTACAAAGCACATTTACAAATTACAACTGTTTAACATTGGTAAATGATTAAACACATTTTCCCACATGTTAAGGAAACAATAAATCACGTATGCATGCCTATATGTGTTCAGCACTGCTTATTAAAGTACTGCAAGAACAACAAGAAAGGCGAGACCTCTTTTCAGTGCTTCCATCATTAAGATTCAGGCCTTTGTAGCCTGGTGCTCTGAGAAAGGGTGAATCCCACATCGTGAAATGTTGCATGGGTCATGAGGTCTATTGCGGAAGTTGCCCACAAGGGGCTCTCTCTGCCAAAAGACTAGGGGCCTGATTACAGAAAAAACTGCATAAATCCTCTCAGGCAGATATATATGTAGTGTCATAACGCGGGCTGCTGACGGGCAAGTGGTACTGGCAGCAGGGATCAGTACGCACGTCAGGAGAAGGGTATCGAAGAGGAAGCCCAGGAAGGGGTCGATCTGGAAGCCCGAGATCCTGCTAGTAGGTTCTAGAAAAGGGGCGTGGCACGGGCGTGGCGGGGGCGGGGCGAGACCACGCCAGGAGGATAAGAGGGGCCCCGGGACGTGGGCTCAGGGCGGTTGCTGCAAGTGGATCCCCTCTCTGTGTTGCGGTTCGTCACCTTCGTCGCCGCCATCTCGACCACCTTAGGCGCCGCTAGCTAGGCAACCTGCCAACTGTTCTAGCTAGGTAGTGCCCTCGAAAGAGACGGATGTGTGACTAGCGTGTAAGCACGTGGGGCGCGGTTATCTCCCCAACGTCTAGAATAAAAGGTTCCTTAAAGAACCCTGTCTGCAACTGAGCCACTACATATATATGGATGCTCCGAAAGTGTGTAGTGCAAAGAGGGACGCGCTACAGTGGTTGCTAGGGATTGTCATGATCCCCACTACACCAGCCAATCAGCTGCCAGGAAAACAAGCCAAATGCAACATGGCTGCTCATGTTGCATCAAGTCCCTGTGCAAAATGTCATCACTCCATGCACTTAAGCAGGATTGCAGCTGAGGTCGGTTAAATATAGAGTATTTTATGCTCTTTTAAAGTGATGTGTGAATTTGCATGAATTTATGTATGGGAGTGTGAGTTAAAATTTGTTATTTTGCACGAGAATGTTTATTTTCAGGCGAGGTCAGGCTCCCACGTGGCATCAGGCCCGCAGCTCTTGTGCGTGCCTCTCTCGCCCTCCCGCAGCCCAGGGTCACACTCTTTTAGTGCAACCACATCCGCACACAGCTAGGAACCCGTGCAGAGTGAGGGTCAGGTGACTTTTGTCTTCGTGATATTGCGGTCGTGTGTGCAGTGGTGTGCAATAACCGTCTGTAGATGGATAGTGCTCAGGATTCCAGTTCGTCGTTAAGGACATTACTGGGGTCATTCTACCCGCTTAAAAAATTTAAAACGGGTGATAGTCCACCTTGGTTTGATGTGAACATTTCTGAATTAATAAAAAAAATATATATAGCCTGGAATAATGCAAAACCGTCAAATAACCTCCCCGACTGGATTACTATAGTACACTTAGAAATAGATGGACTCTCCAAGTAAGAATTGCAACATTTTTTACTACCACCAAACCACCATAAATTCACAAATAAATACAAAAAGTTTCTGGCAACTGTTTAACTCAGTTGAAAACAAAGGAAAGCAAAATGTTCTTCCAAAAAAATTCTTATTGGATGGCAAATAACTGTTCAGAAAACAAGAAATTGTCAATGGATTTAATTCTCATTTTGGATCAGCAGGGCATATCTTTGACAAAACACACCAGGGTAAAATGTATCCAAATACAGCACTGTTCACATCACTCACTTCTTCTTCTTCACACATCAACCCTAAAAATGTTCGTGAGAGTCATCATTCATAATTCTTGTTTCGTCCCATACCTGAACTGGATGTATTGCATAAGCTGGCATCAATTAAGGCATCATCATCCACGGGTGAAGACGAGTTGCCTGTATTTGCACTTGTGGCTGTGGCAGGTCTCTTTTATAAACCCCTCACACACATTTGAACCTCTTACTTATCAAAGATACATTTATGGTCGAGTGTAAATCCTCTCTTATTCGTCCACTTTATAAAAATTGCTCCAAAAAAGACCCTAATAATTATAGTAGCATGGTGCTAGCTGAAAAGTCACAATCGCCTTCACAGTAAAGTCTGGTTTTTGTTTGAAGATAGCTGCACCACCACAGCAATGATGGATGTAGTGCATTTATTTTCAGTAACCTGGATAAAGGCCACAACTGCTTTGCGCTATTCATCGAATTGTCAAACGCCTTTAATACCGTTAACCATGATAATCTACTTACAAGACTTGAGCAATGAAAACATTTAGACGGTAAAATAAAATGGTTAAGAGATACATCTCAGACCGTTTACAGAAGGTACATAGTGATAACATCTCATCTTGTGCGCTTATCATTAATTTATTTGAAGTGGGTATTGTGTTCGTTACACGGGGTTACCACTACTTACCTGGTGTATCGTCAGCCACGGGTCAACAGGGGGTGCAACAGCGAGTCCGTCCTGTACGAAGTAACGCCGTTAGGCCAGGGAACCCAGAGGGCGGTTGGGAACCGGAGGAACACACCCCAGGCCCCCAGTGGGGGCTGGGGGATTACGCAATAGTCGGAGTCCCTCCAGAAGGTTCGAAAGAGTAGGCGTGGCCAGGGGTGGAGTGACCCTGGGAGCTGCATCCAGCAGCAGCGCCGACCCAACGTCTCTACCAAAGTGGATCGCCGTGACAAAAATAAAGGAAAAGGAAGCTGACCCGGCACTGCAGATGCTACTCCCATCTGGGACCGCGTGCCCCAAATGCCGAAAGATCTGCGGATCCACAATTGAACTCCTCAGCCACCTCCAAGAGCCACCCATAATGTTCACTCGTACCAGGATCGTAACCCAATTTTCCCCATTGGAGCAAAGTTTCTGCATTTTGTAATTCTGGATTCGCGAGCGTTTTCAAGAACTATCTCTCGTGGATGGAGAGGGTTTACTGAATATATTTCTCAGGAACGGATGCTGGGTCACTCCTTACCCAAGGTGTTAGCTTCCTTCATGGCCTGCCATTGGATTGACCACATGAGTTGGATTAGTTCCTGGAAGGGTAAATATCCAACAGCCTAAGCCAGGGGTGTCCAAAGTTTTTTTAGTGAGAGCCAAATACAGAAAAATAAACAAAAGGCCGGGCCACACACTAGAGGTGACATATTGACACATGAATACTGTGTGTATTTCTAACTCACCTATAATGTGAAGAACATTGCACTCAGTGGTAGCAGTGATGCTGTTCTTTGGATTGAAGGATGGCTGACATGTCAGGAGAAAGTTTGGTGGTTGAGACACGAAGGACTTCACAGAGATGGCTATCAGTCATTCTGGTTCTCAGTCTGCTTTTGTTCTGATTAAACAGAGAAAATGTTTGTTCACATATGTATGTTGAGCCGAACAGGCTCATCATTCTTTTTGCGTGGCGTCTCATCAGAGGAAACTTGGCATTATCCAAACTCTGATAGAAGTCAGGGAGGGAGAGAAGCTGATGTTGACTTCAGAGAATCATCACATTGCATTTCAATCAGTTCTAACTGCAGCCTCTCTTCCACTTCTTCTGCATCCACCAGGAAGGGGGTCGAGAACAGCTTGATTTGTTTTTCAATGACAGAAAAATCTTGGAAACGCTGGTTGAATTCTGTCACGAGAGATACAATCACAGACACATATTCTCCTTTTTAGCAGGAAGGTCGGCCTTTTGAAAAGCAGACTTGATTTCAGACAGTGCAGGGAAGTGTGCAGCATTAAAGCTTCGTAGTTGTGTCTCAAACAGGCAGAGCTTTACACAGAAGGCTTTCATGTGTGCATACAGGTGTGGCACCAGCTGTTCTTTGCCTTGTAGGTTCTTGTTCAGTGTATTCAGATGATGAGTAAGATCAACTAAAAATGCCAGGTCTGCCAGCCACCGAGGGTCACTCAGTTCATGAAGAGGTCGGCCCTTCTCTTTCAAAAACTGGTCGATTTCTGATCTCAGCGAATAAAACCGCTGCAGCACAGAGCCGCGGCTGAGCCAGCGCATATCAGAGTGGTAGAGTACATCCCCGTATTCAGCATCCACATCAGATAGGAAAGCTTGAAATTCTCTGTGGTACAGTCCTCTAGCTCGAATTATGTTGACAGTTTTTACAACAGTTTTCATCACATCGCCCAGCTGCACAGTCTTGGCACACAGTGCTTCTTGGTGGATTATACAGTGCATCCTAACAGCCTCACCTCCGCTCTCTTTTACCTTGGCGCACACCATCGATGCCATTCCTTTGCGCTCGCCCATCATGGCCGGAGCTCCATCCGTTGTTACTCCACAGAGCTTGTCCCATTTAAGCCCCATCTATTCAACTGCCTCTGACACAGCTTCAAAAATATCTCTACCCGTCGTTGTGCCTTTTAGGCTCATCATATCAAGCAGTTCCTCCGTACAGCAAAAATTATCATCTACTTCCTGCAAAAAAATTAACAGCTGCGCGGTGTCTGTGGCATCTGTGCTCTCGTCGCATGCTATCGAGTAAAAATCAAAAGCACAAGCTTTGTCTCTCAGCTGAAGTTTCAAGTTAGCTGACAAGTCCTCGATTCTCCGCGCCACTGTATTTCTGGATAAGCTCACGCTGTTGAAATCCTGCACTTTTACCGGGCACATTATTTCTGTGACTTTGATGAGGCACTGCTTTATGAAATCACCGTCTGAGAACGGTTTGCTGTGCTGGGCAATAAGTTTAGTGACTTCATAGCTTGCTGTTGTGGCGTTTTCCTGTATTTTGTTACTACGAAAAAATGTTTGTTGTTGAGCTTGCAGGCTAGCCGCCATTTGCTTGACTTTCTGTGTTCGTTCGGCACCGGTGTACGATGTGTAGCTCTGATGTTTGGTCTCATAGTGCCGACGGACATTATACTCTTTCATCACAGCAACATCTTCATTGCAAATCAAACAGACACACTTTCCGTTGATTTCTTTGAAAAAATATTCATTTTCCCACCGTGTTTGAAATCTTCCACACTCACTCGCTATTTTGCGTTTCTTCGGTGCTGCCATTTCTGGTGACTCGCGGTAAAAGTTTTTCTTTGCTTAATTTTGTTTAGTGAAGAAGCACGGTTTTCCGTGGCTGGCTCCATCTAGTGTTGAAACTGAGAAGTGCAACAGAGTTGAGCTCAAGCTTCTTGTGCGGCCCATATTCTATTATATTTTCAGAATTTGCTGCGGGCCAATAAAAATTGGACCGCGGGCCGCAGTTGGCCCGCGGTCCGTAGTTTGGACACCCCTGGCCTAAGCAGACAACTTTACACGCATTGGTGATTTTTATCATGCCAGGCAAGCTGTTCTGTTTTTCCAGCTTCTCACTGGTGATAATTGACTTTTGCTCAGTCTGTTTTTTCCACTTGAATACACACATAGATATACAAGGAACTATGAAATCCCTAATATGAGCCAAGAATGTCTGTGTGTAATGCACGTGACGTCCCTCCACGTCGACCAGCCCCCCTCATTAATAATCATGAACAGGTGGGATCCTCCACATGGACCCCCCCCCCCAGTCATTAATAATCATGAACGGGTGATGTCACTCCGCATGAAGAAGGTGGAGGGGAAACGAAAATTTGTTTACACAAATTAGCTTTCATTTAGACTTTTCTTTATGGAAACTAAAGCTAATAAAGAAAACACAGCAACTAATATAACGAGCCAAAAATGGCTGCGTGTGTGACGTCACTCCACATGCCCCCCCCCCCTCATTATTATTCACGTGTGCCTGGGTTTTGTGTCTCACGCAGAAGATCGAGCGGCTATGATTTAAAAAAATGAAAATGTTATGCAAATTCGCTTTCGATTTTACATATCTTTACAGAAAGTGCATTTGGTGCCTGTATTTACTTCTTAGGCACGTCCAACACAAGGCAAGTCTACTTTACGCTTCCAAATTATGCTACAATAAAAATGTCTATGCTACTTTGCAGACATTGTATCGAATTCCAATTGTTTTCAACCCCAGTGAGTGAAAGCGGAAGATAAGTACGTATCAGAGCAGAGAATTGCAAGTAATTGAACGTCCGTTAAATGCAGTGCTGCGGTCAAATGCTGTGAGGTGTTTTATGACTTCCTTTGTGCAACATTCACTGCCATTAATACAGCGCTACAGTGAAATGCAGTGAAGTGTTTGATGACATTCTTTTTTTAAAATAATCCCTGCCATTACATTTAGACAAGATAAAATTAGACTCCGATCAATTTTATTCGTAACTCCAATGCTTCTCTTTGCTCTTCGTTATTTGCTAAGTAACTTCAGACACTATCAGCACTCACCTTTTTTCACTCTTCGCTATCAAGCGTCCATCGGTGAAGACACATTTGTCAGTTAACAGCTTCAGGTGATTTGAAAACAGTGCTAAAGTGAAGTTAGGGGTTTTTTCAAATTATACAGCCAAGAGATTGTTTGCCTTTGGCCTATTGTGGTAAAATTTTTTTTACCAATTTTAATGCTTATTTTGCCTCTATTCTAGCTAGATTTGGCCCCTATACAGTGTCTAAAAAGCGCGAGACAACCTTTTTCGCAGTGTTCCAGCTGCTGGAGCACGTTAAGTGTCGTGAGATCTAAATACGTCAGCACAGGATTGCCAAACATCACGGAGGATGACAATACTGCAGCTAAGAAACGCCGTTTGCAAAGAGCAAGACAGCAGAGATGGAGAGCTCGCCAGAGCCAAGACACTTTGGACAGAATTCTTACAGAGAATGCCGAAAGGCAAGCAAATCGACGAGAACAAGAAAGTCCGGTTCAGACGCAATCTCGACGTGCAGCTGACGCTCTTTATCAAGCAAATCGACGCAAGCGAGAAACTCCACATACGACACAAGCTCGCCTCGCTGCCAATGCTGAAAATCGTCTCGCAGGACAAGAACGTCGTAGTCAAGCTATTCGTGCTACGGCAAATGACTTTGTGAAACTGCAAGTGATTGAACACAACTGCAGTGTGTTGTGGTTCACTAAATTTTGCTGAGGAGCGACCATCAGATGGAAAGTTCACAAGTTGCTGTCGGAAAGGCAAAGTGAAAGTGGAAAAGCCGATCGACTCCAATGGCAACGTACTCCAATAAATTGCAGGGAAACCTTTTGATCAGTGATAAGGGATTCGCACAAAACATCGTATATCGAGAACTCTTCCAAAGTCAATAATTTCATTTTAAGTTAAGAAAAATGTCTTTATGTGCTACGTTTCCTAATAAAATTAACAATCACACAATAAAACGTCAATTTACATCTTTAATATTACAGCTTCCGTCCTAGGACGGGCTAACATTTAAAAGTATGATTTTTGGGGAAAAAGCAAACTTAACATCCACAACAACATAGGCAGGAGAGGCTCACATGGTAGACTGGGCTGTCAGTTTGGGCTGCCATTAGTGTAAAACATTTTATGGCTGTTAGTCCGCCCATTGGTGACGATTGCCTTCCCTGAGCATTCGCATTCGGTTGTTTCTCATTCATTCTGTCGCGGATTCATTACAGCGTGTTACAGCGTGGCTGTGCGGAATCCACGTGGAGAGAGGGGAGCGCGAGTTGTGGAAAGTGCACAGCCTTCACAACCCCTGCAGTTGCGATCCGCACCCGGTACTTTCTGAAATTTTGGGTATTAAAAAAGAGACCATGAAGCAGCCAATCTATGAAAAAATAACCTGTGCAGAGGTGATATGATGTACTTTGTCCTTGTGCGATTGTGGAGGTGCGTGCAGTGGGTTTGCAAAAACTGCCCGTGGAATAGTGCTGGGGGTTACCGTTTGTCATTAAGGACAGTACTGGGATCGTTATAGATAGGTATACATTGTACTCGACTAGTAGTCAGTGCCTACTACAAGCCCACATAACAGAATTCTAGAAAATATCAAGTGAGGATTCATCACTCCTCACTAAATATTAAGACAGCACAGATCAGGGCTCTGCAGTCACCCATGCAAACCCATGGTCAATCGGCTTTGAAAGCCCAATTTTTGTGGCCCACTGTAATGAAGCGGTGTTTTCCTCATTAATATAACCAAACAGAGGTAAATCCTCATTTAATGTGGGTAGAATTGCTGCCATACACTGTAACAACAGACCCTTCTTGCGGTAGTCAGGCCTCACAAATGCAAAGCCAAGCGCTCCATATGAGTAGCCGAGAATCCAGGCGACTGGACTTCCAGAAGCGTCCAGGACACAGCTATTGGGAAATCCATTTTTTATACAAGTCTGGATTAAGCGCAGGCTGTCAGGGTGGCCTTTGTATTTCCATGAGTCACACACCAACTCAGCGTGGCTTGTGTTTAACATCGCCGTTTTCAGGCCTGATTTAGAATTTGGAATTCTGCAAAACAATGGAAGCACAAATAAAACACACGCATAAAACAGACGTTAATAATTGGACAATTTTTGAATTCATGGCTTTGGTTGCCAAAGCCGAAGTTTATGATTGGGTTGAATATCTTACCGTCACAAGAGGAGGGAACTACATTACATTGTGGTGTTTCAAGTGATGCATTATTACACAACCTGGACTTTTAATGTCCTGGAAAGACTTACAGATTTCTCAAGAAAGCCACTTCAAAACGAGGACGATTCTGGGAAAACCAGGGAAGGTGGACACCCTATTCAATGTCGGGATCTACAATGCCAAGCTGGAGGATGAAAGATCAAGAGTATTAGGTTGAGGCCAGTGCCAGTCAAGGTCGTATCCTCAAGACCAGTGTCTATATATTGAACTTTTTTCACACCATACATAGCCAAGTGACCGCTGGCCCTCTGGTAGTCTGCAAGGTCATGGGGAAATAGTCGACATCACTATTGCAAACACTATGATTGAGAGTAGTTTTAATAAAAAATGAATTGGCTTATTGTGCAATACAAAACAATGTTTTGTATTGCACAATACAGAAATATTGGGAACCACTGCTCTAGTATTAGGCCATTGTGAAGGCTGGGGGCTCTATGCCAAAGCCTTGGGACTAAGGCCACACCCGAGGCCTAGGCCGAGGACAAGAGTGGCATTCACTTTTGAATTTGTCTCTTGATAAAATCGCATGGTTGAATAAAAAAAACACATGGCAAATATAACACGGCATGACTTGTACCTGAGTGTGGCAGGGTCATTCGTTGTGAACATGTAGTAGGGCGAGGGCCAGGAGAGACGGACATTTTTTCTGGCCGCCAAATCATCCACACGTTCTTTCAAATCAACATCTATACCTGTTTACACACAAAATGTTCAACCAAATGTAACAGTGCTGTGTAGCGGTCTTGGATTTCCTCAGACAAAGATTCATACATGTGCCACTTATTGCTTGAAATACAAGTAACAATGGCAAAAAATGGCAGAATCATGCTACAGTATTTTTTAATGTTATAATTATGAATGCAAAGAAAGCCAAATTGTATGTGACTGTTGTTCTAGTGTTTTTTTTTTCAAAACTAAAAACTCAACATTTGTGGCAATAACATTACAAGGAACATTATATAACGAGATATGCTTCTAGTAATGGCCCTTCTTTATAACACAAACAGACCAGATATACTGGAGTGGAATAGAGTTGAATGCACTGTACACCATGGGGCCTGTTAATAATATATAAATAATGTTTCCTGATTGACATATGAAAAGTTATCTAAGAATAGATATTGAGCAACAGATAATCCCTTCAGTAATCTAAAATGTATTTGTATTTAAAGAATACAAACATTTTTGCATACTGGGTAAGAGAAGTCCATTTTATATTTACTAATTCATTCCAATCCCCTAGTACAATCTTATTTTGGATGTACAGACAGTTCACCTGCCAGCATGAAGGGCTTCTTCCATTCCACGACATTAAACAGGAGGCCGGCAAGGCTGCTTGGGTTGAGTGAAAATGTGGAATAGCTGGGCATGAACGGCTTTTCACCGGCCTTGAAAGGAAGATTGCAACATGAAACATTAAGTTCTACATACGAGTCGAACTTAAGTAAAACTAATCAATACAACTTTAGCGTTTACATTTTTTTTATGAGCTCAAAGAAAGTTGCTTCAATGTTATTGGCACGAATAATATGCATTCCTATGGACATTCTGGCCTCAACTTCAAAATTCGTACATAGTGTGTAAACATCGCCACTGAGCTTGACAAAGGTGCTGAGCGTGGTGCTGGCCACCCACGTGTGCCGTGCCGGCCTTCAGAGGTGCTTGCTAAACAGCACTTGCCCCAACAGTCTGTTCAGGCTATCGGGGGGATCTTTGTCTTTGTGTAGGCAGTTGTGGTGACTCATTGTGCCCCTTTCTACATGCAAGCCAGTATCAGGACTCAAGTGAAAATAAAACTGACTTTTTTCTATTTATGGTACGTCATTTTGTTTTATTTACCGTGTAGTGTTATTAAAGTGTTACATGTGTTGTGACTGTGGTTGTCACTGTATGGTGCCGGAGCTTATGAAGCCACGATGGATAATGTGTTGTCATTATGGGCAGCCCGGGTTACAGGGTGTAGTACCACCAGCCCTAGCGGGGCTTGGGTGGCACCGCGAGCAGTGTGCGGTGTGGGCTCCCGGTAAGGGAGCGAGAGGGAGCGTCAGCCAGCCAGGGTTACGTTGGGGCATGATACGCTGGTTGACCTGCCCACACGTGACCCGATGATATTGCAGGGGGGCCACCGGTGGACGGGGGCCGCGGGGCGGTCACGTGGTCCAAAAGAGCTCTCGGGAACCTTCGAGAAAGAGCTCGAGAGACCTGGAAGGTGGGCGGGGCGAAGGGTGGAGACAGCCCCAGCACCCGGCCAGGGGGCATATAACGAGGGCCCCGTGAGGAGCTCGAGGTTCTTCGTGTGCTGGTGTTACGAAGATCCACGTCGGGGAGAAGAAGGCTCTAACAAACGCGGTCCGGGACCCAGCTTGTGGTCCGGACCGGGATAGCGAACTGTGTATTCTGCCATAGCGTGGTTAGATGGGCATTCGAGGCCCGAGTGTAGATCGTGTTATGTTGCGTGCTGTTGTATAATAAATAGTGTTGCTCCCAAGATAACGTCTACGACTCAGTTGGACTCACTACACATGTAAATGTACAATATTTTTTCTGCTTCATGAGTTTATCTTATCTTAACAATGCTTTTCTTTGAACCATAATATATTTCATAACACTGACCGAATTGGCATTTAAATCAGGAACGAATTATGTTCATAAGTCGAGCATTACCCGCTACTGGTCAACCCACCCATGCCCCAAATATAACTCACCTGCTCCCTTGGCTGTACAACTACGGCTTGAAAGTTTGGCCAGGAGTCCACGTAAATGTCCGAGGGTCCGGACATGCCTTTCAGTCCAAAGTACAACCTCCCATACGTCTACAGAAACATGATAGTTAATTAGTTGACCTATTTAGAGATTCAGATGATGGTGAGGATGGAGGAGTTGATGACAATGATTGAACACGATAGATGACAACACTGCATACTGACAGAAGACTTAACAGATAATGAAACGTTATGGTGATGGAGGTTTAAGATGGTTTTGAATATGTTCAATATAGATAGATGATGAAGACTTTGATTAGAGAAGGATGAAGATCAGGTATATGTGATGATGATGGATTATGAAGATTAATAAGATGGTCATAAAAGGTGGAGATTGTGGTGATGATTTATTTCCTATGCTTGCCTACTCAGGAAAGCCTGGAGTGAGTCAGGACTATTTCAGCTTTTGGAGTAAGACAATGAGAGAGGTATTTGATGATGGCAAACTTGGATGATAATAAGATTGAAGATAACGTGCGATGAAGACGGTGCAGTTCCGCTGCACGTTACTTGCCACGCCAATCAGGGACATATTACCGCACTACCGTGAGAGGAAGAGCGCTAGTAATCCACACACTGAGGCCACCATACCTCTGCTAAGTGGGGCGCACAGCATAGTACAGTACAACTGCATTTTTATCGCATTGCCTTCTGCTGCCCATAACGGAGCTCTTGCACCACCCTGCAGCACCTGTGTTATGCGTGGTGGTTGCCCATCCAAGCACTGTCCGGGCTCAACTCTTGCTTAGCTTCTAAGTTGTGATGAGATTGGTTTCATTCGGGGTGGTTTGGTCACGGGCAATGAAACAAAGCTCCAGTTAACAACCAAGCAGGTGCTGCTGAGTTCACTCGCCTTGGCAGAGTGAGGAAGACGGCGAGACAAGGCCACCATCAGCTCCCTCAAATGCTCTCTGCTGCGCAGAATGATCATTTTCTTGTCTGCGAGACCATGGTCAGAGGATGGATTACACACATTCACGTAGTACCAAACTAAACAGGAGCAATTGGCTGGTTACGAAATATGGATACAGGCAGTCTTCTACTCATGAACACCCTCGCTTACGAACCAGCTGGATATGTTTGTCGGATTGGCTGACCCCGCCTACAACTCCCGTTGGTGCGGGAGCGGTGGAGCCTGGGCCGGGTACCACGCCAGTGCTGGGCGCCATTTTTGCCCGGGGAGGGCATGGCATGGCTGGCGAGCGCCATTTTGCAGAGAGCACGGCACAGCGCTGCATGTCATCCGGTTGTTTTTTATGCCCACGAACACGGTCCGAGACATGTCGCTTAGTTTCCCCAATGTAACTACTGCCGCAGACACAGCTTAGTTTGTAGACGCCAGAGTTTGCATATCAGGGATCCTATCCTTCACAGATGGGATCAGATCACGAATTTTATGTACTGTGTTAAATCGAGCCTGGATCTTGTGTTTGCTCAAGATTTTGGAAATCTTTTTGGTGACCCCTAGCTATGTATGGCAAGGTGATGGTTTTGATTGGGTCCTCAGATGGTTCTTTCCCAACGGTTGGGGTGGTGGCTTTACGGATTGTGTGGTCCAAATATCCATTCATCTTGAGAACTTGGTGCACGGGTTTCAGTTCACTGGCTAGGTGATGATGGTTGGAGATGCATCGAGTCAGGTTTTAGGTAGGCATCCATATGAGTTGCTATCCTGTAGACAGTGTCCCATTGAGCCATCTGGTCTCTTTTCGAAAAGAACATCCAAAGATGGCAGCTTGCCATCCTTTTCCAACTCCATGGTGAATTTGATGGCTGGGTGTATGGAATTAGTGTGGTTGAGGAATTGGTTCAGAGCTGGTCGGCCATGTGGCCAGATGACGAACGTGTCATGTACGTACCTCTTCCACAAGGACGGGCGTAGAGTGGATGCCTGGATGGCGACTGTCTCAAAATTTTCCATGAAAACATTGGCTCCAACCGGAGATAAGGGAGAGCCCATTGGGGTGCCTTCAACTTGTTTGTAAAATGTTCCATTCCAGATGAAGTATGTACTGGTGAGGCAGTGTCTAAGCAGGGCCAGTACATCAGCATTCAATCCTTGTTGGACTAAATCTTCAATGATTGCAATGGTGTCGGACACAGGAACTTTGGTGAACAAAGAAACTACGTCGAAACTAACGAGCAAATCACCTGGAGATAGTGAGATGTCCTTAATTAAGGATACCAAGTGAGCTAAGTACAGATGAGGTGGTGTTAACAGTGAATGGTTGTAAGGTCTCAGACAGAAACCGGGCCAGTTTGTCGGTGGGTGAGTCAATGGTGGAGACGATGGCACGAAGGGGTGTCCCTTCTTTATGGATTTTTGGTAAGCCATACAATCTGGGAGGTCTAGCAGCAGAGGGTTTTAAGGAAAACCGTTTGGTTTGTTCAATTAATGAAGCCGGATCAGTGACGATACTGCTAGTGTAAGGGCCTCCACTCAAGGGAGCTCGAGAGCCCCTCTATGAGTTGTTTAACCAGCTCTTCCTTGCTGTTGGGGATTCCGTACCTACACTTTACCCCACCACACATGACCTGCCAATGAACCGCAATGTACCCATTTTTACTGCTCGGTGGACAGACGCCTGGGAGTGGATTTCAGAATTCGAATTTTTATTTATACTGGAGGAATCTGATGAGCTATAAAGCTCTTTTTCACAGATGTCCAGTCGACTCACAGATGTCCAGTAGTTTTAATTAATACATGTATTACACTTACAACAGTTGTTTCAATTGTCAAGCCAGGAGATCGAAGCCCACAAACGACCTCTGGGATAGCAAGTACGGTACGTACTATGCAGTGTGCCAACCATCCCACCATGCCATCAATTAACACAGTGGCATAAATATCAGAGCACATTTCCAGATGTTTGGCGGTCGTATATCATAGGCCACTTTAGAGATCCCTCATTAATATAAACTTGTACGTAATGTATTTATAATTAATTATAGCTTCATATGCTACAGGATGAAAGCTTAATTTACACCCAATTGTATTTCCCGCAATTATGTATCCCCTCCAAAATGTTTGGCTGGGTCTGCTACTGCACGTTATAGTTTCATACCTTTGTTATTATTCCCAACAAAATTATTCCCAACAAACAAAACAAATAAAATAAACGATGCATTAAAACTTCCATAGAAAGCAGTAGTTTTGCATATTAATTCCGTGCATTATTACATGTACACAATTTAAAATAAAAACAAGCACAACTTAAATTTTGATTTAAAGCTTTCAAGACTGCAGTAATTCATATTCTTAGCTCTTTCGGTAAAGTCACGTTGAAGGGAAACAATAAAATAATAAAATATAGCAATAAAATATATATTATTATTTTATTGTTTCCCTTCAACGTAACTTTACCGAAAGAGCTAAGAATAAGCACAACTTACTTTTGTTAACCTGAATAGTGCGTGTGATCTCGAGTGTTGGAAATCCTTGATGTCACTTCCTTTGTCGAGAAGAACAGGGCAATATTTCCTCGTCCAGCAGTCTACATGCAGTTTATATGAGGACTCCGCTAATATGCTAATGTAACTACACTTGTCCGCTGTTCCATAGTTAAACGGAAAATTACTGTTTAAATTTCTGCAACTGATTCACTGGGATAAGACATGCGTAGCCCATGTTAAATTAAAATACGATGGCATTTTCTAGCTCTAACCCCATTATCACAAAAGATCATCATCAGCCATTCTGAATCTACTGCTGGGAAAAAAAAAAACTTATCTTTTGACACGGTTGTGATGTAACAATCGATGTGGCTCTTCGCGTCCTATACTTCATCATGCTGGTTAGTGCCGGTTGATAAAGACGGTGAGCATAAATGTGGGAACATAGAAGTACAATACAACGATTATTTTCGCACCTGATAGGCTCACAGTGATGACATGACCTTTACTCCTCTATTTAAGACCGAAACAGGACTTCTTAAAAATTATGGCGATCACCTGATGAAGCTGATGTAATCACCAGCGAAACGTCGTACTCTAAATGTAGATGTTGTGGGTTTACTCTCAAACACACCGTTGTGCTGAAGTAATAACTAATTGGCACGTGTTGTTTTCATGTCAAACCTTACTAATTGGCTGACGGGTGGTAGCAGGTTTAACGACACATTTATTGTTACACGATCTAACCCATATTAACTGTTGGTGCATTCCAGGTGATTTGGCCATAGGGCAAATGTTAAATGTACGACTCTTTCTGACTTTAATACAGGTTTAAGATGTTGAAACACCAAATAGACAACCTATGGATATACATAACGTCTGTATTAATCACACATACGTGTGGTAAAACATACGAACAAATATGCGTTGGTACAATGATGTATGCATTGTGATCTTGATTCTGCCAAAAAGGGTCCCATTGATATATATATGGGGCTAGTTTGTTGTTTAAATTAGCCCCACCTCTGTCTACTTTTAAATATAAATTGCACATCACAGTTAAGTATTTGGTAGGTTGTAAGTGGTGGGATAAAGTGTGGGTAGTCAGCTCTTTCAAAACTTCTGGCCAGTGTGGAAGAGTAGGGCAAATTACAATAGTAAGAGGGTCTCTAGTGCTCTATAACAGATGTGCTTCACCAGCAGTGCCATAATGAAGCAATTGCAGGGCTGCACCATTACATATAAATACTCATTCTTAGACACGTGATTCAGTGCATGTGTAGTGTAATAGCGCCGGCTGCTGGGCAGCAGCAGCAACTGTGGTGGACAGAGTACACACGCCGGTGAGCGTGTGTTGGGGTGTGTTGGCAGGGCGGAGGAAATGGTGCAAACGTCACAGACAACCCCATCTGGAAGCCCCTGGAACCCGTTAGTGGGTTCGAGAAGGGAGGCGTGGCCAGGGCGGAGTTAGGCCACACTGGGAGGATAAAAGGAGCCGAAAGCGGGAGCTCGAGGCTGCCGGTTCTGGGATTGGATTTGTCTCGTCGTTGCTGTCGTCTCGTCGCCATCGTCGCTGCCATCTTCGCTAGATATTGCGCTGCTAGAAGTTGGCTGTCTCAGTCAGCGCCGTCAGACCGTGAATGTTCTGAATAAAATAAGTTGCCTCGTCCCCGAATCGCTGACACTACACATGTAAGTGAAGAGGAGTCCAGCAGGAAGTCAGTGAGCTTATGAGCTTTTTAATCAGCCAGCATAGAAGGCACATGCAGTCTTAACGTACTTACACAAAGGCGCCTGATCAATCATTTACCTGTACTTTTGTGTCCTCTATCCAAACCACTCATGCTTTAACCACCAATCATAATTCAGCTACTTTACCTGCCCTCAATCGACACCGTCTCCTTCTTTGAGTGTTGGCGGTCTTTCTCCCCAAAATCCTCTCTGATATAATCACCTTTGAATACCGTGACGCTTCCCCAATCAGGTGCACACTCCAGAGAAAAGTATTTGGGGTGTTTAGGTTAAAGCCCGGTTTTGATATAATTTCCTAACTGAATTAATTTTAAACAATGCAGCCGTCAAGCCGCCATTTGGCCGTGGAGAGTAGTTAATGATATAATTTTCAATTATATAATGCGAGGTGACTTAGCCTGTCATTCCTCCGGAGTCAATATAATGATTCGAGGATGATCTCTACCACAGCTTTACAAATGGGTGCTGAGATAACGCAGGAGTCCGATCTTGCAACCACAGACCTGCCCGCAGATAATAGACATGTCTTCGCAGGTCATGTCCCTGCTGGCTGGGGGTTCTTTCCCTGTCCTTCATTCCTGGTCTCTCTCTCTCTTTTCAGTTATGAGGGCTAGAGCGCTTCTCTTCGAAGCGGGCCACTGCCTGATGGGAGGATGTGCCGCTATTGAGGTCGGTTGGTGGCTTGCTCCTCCCAGCTTGTAATGTCCACATCAGATTTCCTGAGATACACTTTCTGTGTGTATTTGTAGCATTTCCTCTGATTACCACAGGATCTCTGATCGTGGGTGAGCTGGGAGTAGAGGGTTTATCTGGAGAGACAGGATTCTGGCATCCGCACAAAATGTCCTGTCCAGCGAAGTTGGTGCAATGAAGAACAGTGCCTCAATGCTGGTGACATTGGCTTCAGTGAGGATGCTGGCATTAGTGTGGTCAGTGTATGATGTGAGTGAGTCAGTGTATGATGTGTGAGTCAGTGTATGATGTGTGAGTCAGTGTATGTGTGAGTGAGTCAGTGTATGGTGTGAGTCAGTGTATGATGTGTGAGTGAGTCAGTGTATGATGTGTGAGTGAGTCAGTGTATGATGTGTGAGTGAGTCAGTGTATGATGTGTGAGTGAGTCAGTGCATGATGTGTGAGTCAGTGTATGATGTGTGAGTGAGTCAGTGTATGATGAGTGAGTGAGTGTATGATGTGTGAGTCAGTGTATGATGTGTGAGTGGGTCAGTACATGATGTGTGAGTCAGTGTATGATGTGTGAGTGTATGATGTGTGAGTCAGTGTATGATGTGTGAGTGAGTCAGTGTATAATGTGTGAGTGAGTCAGTGTATGATGAGTGAGTGAGTCAGTGTATGATGTGTGAATGAGTCAGTGTATAATGAGTGAGTCAGTGTATGATGTGTGAGTCAGTGTATGATGTGCGAGTCAGTGTATAATGTGTGAGTCAGTGTATGATGTGTGAGTCAGTGCATGATGTGTGAGTGAGTCAGTGCATGATGTGTGAGTCAGTGTATGATGTGTGAGTCAGTGTATTATGTGTGAGTCAGTGTATGATGTGTGAGTGAGTCAGTGTATGATGTGTGAGTGAGTCAGTGTATGATGAGTGAGTGAGTCAGTGTATGATGTGTGAGTGAGTCAGTGTATGATGAGTGAGTGAGTCAGTGTATGATGTGTGAGTCAGTGTATGATGTGTGAGTCAGTGTATGCTGTGTGAGTCAGTGTATGATGTGTGAGTGAGTCAGTGCATGATGTGAGTCAGTGTATGATGTGTGACTCAGTGCATGATGTGTGAGTGAGTCAGTGTATGATGTGAGTGAGTCAGTGTATGATGTGAGTCAGTGTATGATGTGTGAGTGAGTCAGTGTATGATGTGTGAGTCAGTGTGATGTGTGAGTGAGTCAGTGTATGATGAGTGAGTGAGTCAGTGTATGATGAGTGAGTCAGTGTATGGTGTGCGAGTGAGTCAGTGTATGTTGTGTGAGTGAGTCAGTGTATGATGTGTGAGTGAGTCAGTGTATGATGTGTGAGTGAGTCAGTGTATGATGTGTGAGTGAGTCAGTGTATGATGTATGAGTCAGTGTATGATATGTGAGTCAGTGTATGTGTGAGTGAGTCAGTGCATGATGTATGAGTGAGTCAGTGTATGATGAGTGAGTGAGTCAGTGTATGATGAGTGAGTGAGTCAATGTATCATGAGTGAGTCAGTGTATGATGTGTGAGTGAGTCAGTGCATGATTTGTGAGTCAGTGTATGATGTGAGTCAGTGTATGATGTGTGAGTCAGTGTATGATGTGAGTCAGTGTATGATGTGTGAGTCAGTGTATGATGTGTGAGTCAGTGTATGATGTGTGAGTCAGTGTATGTGTGAGTGAGTCAGTGTATGGTGTGAGTCAGTGTATGTGTGAGTGAGTCAGTGTATGATGTGTGAGTGAGTCAGTGTATGATGTGTGAGTGAGTCAGTGCATGATGTGTGAGTCAGTGTATGATGTGTGAGTGAGTCAGTGTATGATGAGTGAGTGTATGATGTGTGAGTCAGTGTATGATGTGTGAGTCAGTGTATGATGTGTGAGTGAGTCAGTACATGATGTGTGAGTCAGTGTATGATGTGTGAGTGTATGATGTGTGAGTCAGCGTATGATGTGTGAGTGAGTCAGTGTATGATGTGTGAGTGAGTCAGTGTATGATGAGTGAGTGAGTCAGTGTATGATGTGTGAATGAGTCAGTGTATAATGAGTGAGTCAGTGTATGATGTGTGAGTCAGTGTATGATGTGTGAGTCAGTGTATGATGTGTGAGTCAGTGTATGATGTGTGAGTCAGTGCATGATGTGTGAGTGAGTCAGTGCATGATGTGCGAGTCAGTGTATGATGTGTGAGTCAGTGTATGATGTGTGAGTCAGTGTATGATGTGTGAGTGAGTCAGTGTATGATGTGTGAGTGAGTCAGTGTATGATGAGTGAGTGAGTCAGTGTATGATGTGTGAGTGAGTCAGTGTATGATGTGTGAGTGAGTCAGTGTATGATGAGTGAGTGAGTGTATGATGTGTGAGTCAGTGTATGATGTGTGAGTGAGTCAGTACATGATGTGTGAGTCAGTGTATGATGTGTGAGTGTATGATGTGTGAGTCAGTGTATGATGTGTGAGTGAGTCAGTGTATGATGTGTGAGTGAGTCAGTGTATGATGAGTGAGTGAGTCAGTGTATGATGTGTGAATGAGTCAGTGTATAATGAGTGAGTCAGTGTATGATGTGTGAGTCAGTGTATGATGTGCGAGTCAGTGTATAATGTGTGAGTCAGTGTATGATGTGTGAGTCAGTGCATGATGTGTGAGTGAGTCAGTGCATGATGTGTGAGTCAGTGTATGATGTGTGAGTCAGTGTATGATGTGTGAGTCAGTGTATGATGTGTGAGTCAGTGTATGATGTGTGAGTCAGTGTATGATGTGTGAGTCAGTGTATGATGTGTGAGTCAGTGTATGATGTGTGAGTGAGTCAGTGCATGTGAGTAAGTGTATGATGTGTGAGTCAGTGCATGATGTGTGAGTGAGTCAGTGTATGATGTGAGTGAGTCAGTGTATGATGTGAGTCAGTGTATGATGTGTGAGTGAGTCAGTGTATGATGTGTGAGTCAGTGTGATGTGTGAGTGAGTCAGTGTATGATGAGTGAGTGAGTCAGTGTATGATGAGTGAGTCAGTGTATGGTGTGCGAGTGAGTCAGTGTATGGTGTGTGAGTGAGTCAGTGTATGATGTGTGAGTGAGTCAGTGTATGATGTGTGAGTGAGTCAGTGTATGATGTGTGAGTGAGTCAGTGTATGATGTATGAGTCAGTGTATGATGTGTGAGTCAGTGTATGTGTGAGTGAGTCAGTGCATGATGTATGAGTGAGTCAGTGTATGATGAGTGAGT